GGCTGCTGTTGTGTTCCGATGGAACTTTTTTTTTTGTGTATGTGCATGCGTGCAGGTTTTGAATGCTGTGCACCCTTCTTCCTCACTATATATATATATATTGTTTTTGGTCTTCTTCGCTTATTCTTTAGAATTTGTCGTCGGACGTATCATTTATTACCAGACCTTCTGTTTGAGATGAGTGAGGCAGAGTGTCGCCTGTTCGAGCTGCTTGACAAGGCTGAGGTGGCAGAGTTGGGCGTCGTGCCACTCGTGTCTCTGCAGGAGGCGTGTACGGGGGTGCCGTACGTGTCGTCCAGGCTCACAGGCAGGCGGCGGTACCAACTCTACCGCGGCCTGCTCCTGGACCGGCCTCCGACGGCGGTGCCCGACACGTTTCGACAGCATGCGGGAGAGGCGGGCGAGGATCACAAGAAGGTGGCGGCACGACTCGGGGAGGTTCTGGGCGGAGACGACCTGCTGGAGGAGGCGGAACTGCAGGGGTTTGTCTACTACTTTGCGTCCAAAACCGGGTGCCACTTCGACGATGCGATGACGGGCATCACGCTCGTACTTGCTACGGTGGTTGCTGCCGCAGAGTTGCCTTCCGGCGCGGAAAAACTTTGCCGGCTTTACCAGCTGCTTGAGGTGTTGCTTCAAGATTTTGTTGTGCCCACCGCGTCTCGTGCCCTGGACACCTCCCTTGTGCCGCTGCTACGCCTGCTGTTGCAGTACCATGACCCGTGTCTTGCACGTCACCTTGACCAGCGTGTTGTCAACATTGGGGTGGTGCTCCTCGACTGGGTGCGACGGCTCTTTGTGGTGGGGGACAACTTTCAAACGGCGCTCGGTGTCTGGGACTGGCTGCTGATTGTGGGGGACCCCACAATGGCGGTGTACTTCGCTCTCTCGTACCTCATAGCCTACCGCCAACGTCTTCTTGTGATGAAAACTCACGAAGAGTTGACTGAGGCGCTCCAATCCCTCGTTTTTGTGCTGCCAACACGAAAGGAGGACGCGGTGGACCCCGCGCTGCACGACGGTAGACCAGTTTCGTTCCTCCCGCTCAGGTCCGGTAAGTCGCTCGCGCAGAACGCAGACATTGCCTACCAAAATACGCCGCATTCTACCCGGCGTGTGATCGACGCCTTGGTATTTCCTGGCGAGGGCGGTCTGAGCAAGAGCCCCGAGGCTTTGGAAAAGTATTACACCGCCTACACGGCCTTGCCGCTGGAGCGTTCCGATTTTGCTGAGTCCTTCGCCGTGCAGCCTGCCGCGCAAATGGAGCTGGCTGCACTGAGTTACATCGTTTTGGACTGCCGTTCCCGTACGAGTTTTGACTTTGCCCGACTTGCAAGCGCCATTCACGTAGGGGATGATATCGGTTTCGATAACGCAATGTTTGACAGGCTAGCTGCGACGCTGCATGACGTCAAGGGGGCCCATCTCTGCATCTTCGGCACGGGTCGGCCCATCACAGGCGAGTTCAACCTTCTCAAAATGTTCTCTCTGCACCTCGTGCAGTGCGGTTTCCCGTACGTCAGCATAGGCGGGTTTCGTACCCTTGTTCCGCTCATCGAGGCGCGCGCCATCACCATCACGCGAACCTCAGCGGTTGACATGGCACGAGGGGAGGTTAGAGATTCCGTGGCGGCGTTGAAGAACGGTTTGGCGGAGATGCTGCCGCACATTGAGTTTGACAAAGAGGAGGCTCGTCGAAAGGCGGAGGTGGTTGGCCACAAGGCAAGGGAAGGCGTACAGGCGGTGAAGTCATGGGGGTGGGGCATAGTACAGCGCATGAGCCAGCGACTGGCATCCAGCAGCACACCATCCTGTAAGACAAACCTTACGGCGACTACAGAGATGAGTGAAAATACAAGCGGTGGCGGCAGCGGCGGTGGTATCGACGCTGGAGCTGGAACTGGCGGTGTTGTCAGTCGAGATGGTCGTGCCCATCGGCTGACACGTGCGACAGCCGCTCAGCGTGTGTTCTCGCTGGGCGTTGACGACTACACGGATGATGAGGACGATTTGGATCTCATCACCAGCGTTCCTTTGTACACCGGCACTACCATCGCCTACCGGGGGGGAGAGCAACTTGTGAAGGGGACTCTTGTGGAGGCGTCATCCTCACGATCTGAGGGAGAGGTGAAGGCCTCCCCCGTTGCAGCAAACCCCGTGTCTCCCCCAATAGAAAATAGCCTTCTTAAGGGAATAGATGAGGAGTTCGATCGACTCTTCGGTGACTTCGTCCCACCGCCTGGCTCTTCGTCTCAGGCGGAAGCGGCATCGCCAGAAAAAGAGCACGTGAGTACGGGCGATGCGGATGCTGACACCAACAACCCATGAAAAGAGGGGGGATGGGGGAAGGTATGCACATACTCATTGGGTCGTTTATTTAGTATGGGATAGTCCCGTTTTGTGTGGCGTGTTTTTTTTTTTGTACGTGTGTATGTATGTATGCGTTTCATGTTTGATGTCCTTTTGTTTTCGTTGTGTCTCGCTCTTTTCTCTCTATGTTTATATATATATATATATATGCCTTCTTATCTGTGGGCGCGTGCATTCTTTGGTGGGCTTTTCTTTCTTTCTTTGGCAGCGGCACGGTGATTCGTGTGCCCACTGACGCAGGCACACACACACACACACACGCAGAGCATATACATACACATATTTATGCGCGTATTTCTGTACCATTACTAGTAGTGGTGTTATGCTTATTTGTATACACGTGTAGCCAATGAAGACAGATCGTTTGTTGACGCTTCTGGCGTTGGCCTTGATGGCCGTTACGTGCAGCCTTCTGGTTGTGAATTCCGGGACGAGTGATAGGAGGGAGGAGAATCCGAAAAGGAAGAGTTCTTTCTTTACGACGAACTACGCCGCGGCGTATTTGGGCGCTACGCTGACCGATTTTAATCGTGCTTGCAAGGGAGCGTCGTCTGTGCTCAACGACGAAAAGGAGAAGTACATGATATGCGCTTGTGAGGCGGCCAGGAAACTGTTTACAGTTCAGCTCATCCGCGAAATTGAGGTTCGCGTCGTCACATTGGTTAACATGGAACATTTCAGTTCGAGCGTGAAGAAGTTTGTGCTGCTCGGCAGCAAAAAGTACCCCACCAACGAGTGGCGTGTGCTTGGAGAGTTTGAGGCCAGTCCGTGGCGCGGGACGCAACACTTTGACGTGCCAACGCAGGAACCTGTGCGCTTTCTGCGTTTCATGTGGGCCACCTCCCACGGCGACGACTCGTGGTGCACGCTGACGTCCTTCAAGGCGTTTGGCGTGGACGTACTGGAGACCCTGACGGAGGAGTACGGCGCAGATGTGGAGGAGTTGCTGCAGGGGCCACTGGATAGGGCACTCCCAGAACCACCGATTTTTGTTGCGCCAACGCTGCCGGTTTACACAGAGGTTAATGACCGTACCAGCGGACATGCGGCTGCACTGCATCACCCCAATGAAGGAAGGAAGCCACAAGGCGATGCCGCGCTCGAGAAGCTGTTCCAGCAGGTGGACGCCATCGTTTCGGCTGCCACCAACTGCAGCAGCGATGACAGCGACGCTGCCGGAGATTTCTCAAACTGCTGCAACTACGGCGAGCCCATCGACAATGCCTCCATCATGTGTATGCTGCAAGAGCGCCAGGCATTTATGGCCCGTTCGAGGTGTAAGTGCCTTTTGAAGCCAGTTCTCCCTGTCAGGATGGCGCTGTCACCGAAGTCGTTCCAAGGGGGAACGGTACTGCAGATCATTACACAGATGAGCAAGCATCTGAAGGTGCTGCAGCAGGAGCTGGAAGAAGCCTCTTTTCGGCAAAGGGAAACGCAGGCGAGGCTCGAGAACAGCGAGGCGGTGATAGCATCCATTGGGGTGCACTTTCGCAACATATTGAGGATTACTCGTGACTACAGTGAGCGACTCACGGACGTGAAAAAAGAGATGGATGCCGTTAAGTCACGCCTCCCACTTGTGTTGGAGTCAAGGAAACAGAAAAGCGCTTGTGCCACATTGAAGATGTGGGTGGCATGCTCCAACGCATTGGCCCTTGTCGCCCTCCTTGCGGTGTGCTTTGTGCCCCGCTCAAATACCCCCATGGGAGCGCGGCGTTTCACACGGCGTGGGTAGTCCCAGCGATGCGTTCTTGCCGCTTTAACTTATTTTTGTGTGCATGTGTGTGTTTTTTTTTGTTATTTGTTTGGCTGGAAATTTGGTGGGGGTCCTTTGACCACAGTTGCATGTGTGTGTGTGTGTGCTGTCGCCTCCCTGCCCCGATGTCTTTGTCACCGCCTCTCCTTTACGTGCCGCCGCTCCTGAAGGGAGTTTCAAGAAGCGAGTAAAAGGAGGGAGAAAAGGATACAACACATCAACTAGTTACTCCGCAGACGCACACCACAGTTTCATTAATTCATCTACGGTCCATACCTCTGCGTATTCCACGTGTGCAGTTGTTTGCGCAGCCCCCACTTCTTTTGAATCTCTTCGTCCAGTCCTGTCAAAGACATATTTCGTGTTTCGCGCTGCTGCACACTAAATGCAGCAGAAAGTACTTATCGTCACGCCAGTTGCCTTGTTTGAGGTTGTGGATGGAAAGACCGTGGAACGTGGGAATTGCGCGTGTGCGGTCGTGGGGCTTCCCGCAGATCGTCCCAGGTATAGCCTGGTATGCTACAATGACCGCCGCGAGACGCTGTGCGTGGGATCCATTTCCTCAACCAATGAACACGGTCTCCAGTTTGAGCTACAGGCGAGCCTATACGCTAGTTTTCGCGACACCGCCGGAAAGCGCTGGAGCTGTATGTTTCTAAAGGAGTCTCAGATGGAGTCTTTCTTGGCGGTGCTTGGGATTGCCCTCTACGCCTTGGCAGGCCAGCCTGCACACGCGACCGTCATCGGCGACTTTGCACCACCAGCAGGGGAGATCAGGCTCGGTCTGCAGCATCGTGTGAAGGTGCGTTATTCCGCCTTTGCCATTCGCAAAGGTGATGTCATGAAGCTTGGGGAGCTGCTGGAGACGAACGGGGACCGCCCGTACAACTTTCAGCCAGTGCAGTCAACGATGGCGCTTCACCCAGAGGCAAAAGGCTTTGAGTCGAGTGTGCTTGGGATGATGGAAGACACGTGGCGCACCGTCGTGGTGCCGGCGACGCTTCCGCGCTCGGGCGGGAGGCAGCTGTACGGCGGTGACAGCGTGATCTTCGTGCTGCAGGTCGTCCGCATTCTTCACGATGACTCTCCAATGACGGCAGAAGCCAAAGTTCCCGCGGTCTTTGCCGCCACCACCGACAACGCCTCCGCCTTGGTCCCGTTTTCTGCGCAGACGAGGGACGCGAATGGCACAAAACTTGTTGTGCTGCACAGTGAGCGGAGGGAGGGGAATACCGGTGGCGATGTGTCGCTTCTTCATACGTCTGCCTGCGGTCTGGAAGGCGGCGGCGTACCCACGGAGCACATTGCAATGATACAAAAGTTGGGGGCGCAGATTGGTAGAGCCATAACTGACGCGCGTGACGTGCGCGACGTTGCTGTGTGTGTCACTGGGGAGTGGAAGCAGGCCGTCAACCGACCAACGCCGTCGGCTCTGACGAACGCGGCCTTGGAGCAGTCCGTGAAGCAGCTCATTATGGAGAACGAACGCGTCATGGATGACATTACACGCCGTGATGAACTGCTGCAGGCTCTTGACCAGCGGAATCGCGAGCTGCAGAAGCGTGTGGATGTCGCAGCCATGGTGTCACAACAGCTGCTCGACGAAAATAATGATTCCGTACGCACAGCCTCGGACATGAAGCTGGAAAAGGAACGTCTTGTCATGAAGCTGCAGGAACAGATTAATCAGGTGGCTCATGAACGAGATGACACCCAGCGTCATCTTGAAACCGTCAAGAAATTACTTGGGGTCTCCGACGAGGAGCTGAGTCAGCTACGAGGCAAGTCTGACGTTCACGCCATACAGTCAGAGAGTATGATGACAAAGTTAAACACCACACAGGATGCTTTGGCTGAGGAGCGTGCACGTCGCAAAGGCCTGGAGGCGAAGGTGATGACTTTGCAGGAGGAGATTAGAAACGCTGAGTCCGAACTGCATCTTAAAACTGCCCAACTGGAAGAGCTGCGTCGCATGGCTGATATGGAGCGGGCACACTATGCCCAAATCATGGAGGATGAGCGGCAACGTCGTGGGTTTGAGGCACATCAATTGCGTAGTGAGATTGTGTCGGATTTACAGTTGCGCGACGCCAAGTATCAGGCCGATCGTGCGCGTGTAGCGGAGGACAACTTTGGACGTGGGCAGGCTGAAGGCAAAGAGATTGGCAGACGTGAGGCCCGCATTTATGTGGATACTCAGCTGGAAGAGCTCCAGCTTGACGCACAGAGGGCTCTGACGGAGCTGGATACATCCAAAACCGATCTACGACGTGCAATCGAGGAGGGCATGGCACAAAACCGCACATTGGGGGCCAAAGTGGCGAAGCTCAAAAGGCAAATGTATGAGGAGACGCGAAAACGAGTACGGTTGGAGTTTCAGTTGCATGGCATGCGCATGAAAGTACGGTGTGCACGGGATAACCTCATGGCTGCCTTTACATCTGCTGTGTATCGACTGCAGCGACCAGCGGAGGTAGCGAACTTAGTGCAGCTTCTGGACGCGGTAAAGCAGCGGCGGAAGTTGGACTTCAGCTTTGAGAAACGGAGCCAGGCGGCTGAGGAACTGGCGTCCGTGCAACGTCGCCTTGAATGGATTGAGTCGAGCATGCTGTCTCTATATCGCAGCAGGGCTGAGGCTATTTATCTTGCCTGGGTGGAACCACTGCTGGCGGAGCAGAAGGCGACAGTGGAGGCGGTGCGCCATCTTTGGATGGAGCGCGATGGTAGCGCCTACTATGAACTCAGCGCGGCAGAAACACACGAGCGCTTTGTGATTGGGCAAGCAATGGAATTGTTCTTTCAAGAACTCTCTGCGTTTTTCACGGAGCATATGAGACAGCGCGGTGAACTCTTTAATGACGCGGAAAGAGCATACAGAGAGAGTTTGGAAGATTACATGGCGGCCACGGACGCGATCCATGCACATCGGCTTGGCGAACTTCAGGCATGGCGGGAACTGCAGGCGGAGTGCATGGCGGCACGCAGTGCCACGGAGGAGGAACAGGTGACGGCATTCCGCTGTCTTCTGTTGGAGGCGCTGACTGGAATGATCACAGCGGATCAAAGCGCCTTCATGGAGGCAGAGGAGCGGGAACGAGCCATTGTGGATGCGGACCAGTGTGCCGAGTTTAGCGGGATGCTCTTTGACTGTAGCGAGGGGCTGGAAGCGCTGCGGCAGCTCGCGGCTGTTGTTGAAGCGCAAAATAACCTGGTGGCGGCAGAGGCACAGTCCCGCGCGGGTATTGCGGCGGCGGAGGGGGGTGCCCTGGGGGATCTCACTGAGGAGGAGTTGCGAGAGCGACCACCACCACCACCACCGCCGCCGCCGCAGTCGACGGTTGTGGAGGATGCGATCACCAGCGAAGGCACGCCTGGCATGCATCGTCTGCAGCGTTCCGTGGAGAGGGAGGGCGAGGAAGAGGCGGCGTCGTTTTGCGATGGGTCGCGGGTTCTGCATCCATTGGAAGGAGCGGACCAAGACCCCGCGGCGTGGGAGCACGCAAAAAGCGATAGCAGCGAAGCACGCTCCACTGCGGCTCCACCATCACCGCCAGCTGCTTGTGTAGCTTCGCGGCCCACGCAGGCGGCGGCGGTGAAGTCCAACCTCTTCGGCTTCTCCAGTGGCGACGACGACGACGACGCGGGGATGCAAGGCTGGTGCCAGCGGTGCAGCGGCCCGCGGTGACCAGGCGCATGCCCCCACCGAAGTCCAGGCTTTTTGACAGCAGTGATAGTGACTAGTGGTCGGTAGCGAACGAAGTGAGAGGAAGAGCCGCAGCAGGAGGCAAAAAAAGAAAGCAGGCAAACACAAGTGGGGGACCTAAAGAGAGGAGTAGCGAGCATATATGGTGGTGATGCTGGGACGAGGTTGTGGAAACGTCTAATTGCGCGACTCGCTGTGGGGGTACCTCAGCGTCTGTGCGTGTTCAGCTGTACTTTTATTTGCGGCTGCTACCGCCCTCTTCGCCTTTCTGCATTTTTGTTTTTGTTTTTATTTTTACCTTCTCCTTGTGACGATTGTACGCGGAATCGGCCTGCACAAGAGTGGAAAGACACGGGAGGGTTTGATTTTATTTTCTTCGCTTGTCGCTTTATTTCTTTTTTTTAGTTTGTATTATTTATACAGTCGGCCCATGCAGTACCTATACGATGACGTTATACCACCCTTTCGTTTCTTCACGAAGATTGTGATGCGGTGCGTCAATAACGCCCTGGATGAGGCCACGGCGAGTCACCGCACCGATCACGCAGGATTGTTTGCACCCCATACAACTATAGCGATGGACAACCCATGCTTGGTAGAAATAGCTCCCGGCCTGGTGACGCGCGGCCCCGCTGTCAGTTCAAAACCTGACGGTTCCGTGGGAAAGGCCGATGCGTCTGCAGAGAACAACATTTCTGCTGTTTGTGTAGCTGGTGATGTCATGCTTTGCGGGTTTACAGATGGGCGAACTACGCTGATTTACAGCAGCCCTCATGGGGGTCCGTTTGAGACAATTGAGATTCCACCGTTTACGCCGAACTCCACTCAGGTGGTTGCGCTGAGTTGTGTGCCTCTTCGAGAGGGGCACTGGGCGGTTTCTGTGAGCTACAAAACATCTGTCTTTGTGCGCCTGGTGTCGCTGAAGCAGAGTGCGCATCTCCCCATGGTGCTGAGGAAGAGGAGCCAGCAGCGTGTCATTGAGCTGCTCACCAGCGAGTGGCCATCCTGCGACTATGTGAGCTCGTTGCAGCTCTCACCCTGTCTGAAGTATCTTGCAGTGGCGTTTAGCAACGATGCGCTTGTTATCGTTGCCGCGCTTCCACCTCTAGAGGTGTCCCGTCACAACATGGGCGGCGGTCCTGAGCGCGTCGCGTTGGACGCCACGTGCCGTGTGATAAAGGAAGGCCGTCCCGGCGGTAACTGTCAGGCCCGTGTCTTTTTTATGCCGGAGCGGCCGCCGGGGGGTGTGCGCTCGGCCTTTTTACCGGGCTTGACATTGAACGACCCTGACACGACGGCGAGCCCACACCACCCACTCTGTTTGCTGGTGTGGGTGAACGGCAACAGCTACACGCGTTGTTCCTTGAAAAGCGTCAGCAATGGCGTCACAAGACGCCTGAAAACCATTCTTGCACCAGAGCCATCCACCACTGTGACTAATTCCAAAAAAACTCCTTTTGCTGCTACTGCGGTAGGGGCGGGCGCCGGCACTGCCGCTGCCTCTGCGGCGCAACGAACGAAGCTCAAGTCAAAAGTGGGTGCCGGTGGTTTGAAAGAGATTCCCCCGGACGTTGCATCGGTTGCCGCGGCAGGTTTAGTGAAGCAGCCACCGTTTCTTGGTATGTACAGAGGTTTGTTGTCTGACAAGGTTGTTGCAGCGACGTTGGCGTCATCGGACGGCAGCGCAGTGGTGGTGGGGTGTGCTGGTGGACGTGTGTACCTCATGGATGGATACGGCGTTACGTCGATGGTTTTTACCACGCTGTTTCAGGTGCAACCGATGTGGCTAACGGCCTTGTATCCCACCACGGATGTCCGATGCGGTATGGTGCTGCAGGCCATGAAGGCGCCGTTGGGGGATGGAGTAGGAGTCATGCTGGCGTATGCGCGAGGGAGTCTATCGCCTGCATTCGTTAACTTGGAGACGGTGTGTTGTTTGCGAAATGTGGAAGGTCTAAATATGGTGCTTCCACTGAGGGAGCTGCCGCTTGTCTTGCTTTTTTGCACCCACGGCACGTACCTCTGGGACGTCCACTACAACTGCGTGGTGGCGTCTCTCACCGGCCTACCGTCGCTGGAGCCTTTCTCCCTTTGCAGTGTTTCACACCGTGGGGCGGCCAGTGGTGCGCTACGCCTGGCCGCAGCCAGAAAGCTTCCTAAGACGTTGTACCTGCCTTTCTGTACGGAGACGGCCATCGTCTGGTGGACCTCCGGCAAAACCCTGGCACGACTACTCATTGCCGACCTCCTTGCCCAGGTGTACCCGCTGCTGGACCCTGAGTTTCGGGGTCTTCCCATGCGGGCGATGGCGTACCTCCTCGTTCACGTGCCACCTGCGCAGCGCAATGCATCAGAATATGTGGCGAATGTTAAGCTCCCCACGGAACATCAGCAACTGATGGACACTTATGAATGGGGCTCTCCCGCTGCTGGTGGTGGTGGTGGTGGTGGTGGTGGCAAGGACACTGGCGTCGGCTTCGCCAACCCCAAATTCCCTATGGACGAGGTATTGCTTCACCGGTTTAGCCATCTCTCCTGTGCTCCGCTGCACCCCGAGACCATGGCGGCGTGTTTCCTCGAGACGACATGCTCCACTGTGAATACGCGAGCAGAGGAATTGCGCTCCATGTTTGGAGCCACACCTCCGCATAGGTCGTGAAGTAGTCCAGACAAATGTAAAATTATGTGCACTGAACCGGGTGACCACTTAATCCATGAGTGAGTGTAAGAGCTGCGCGGAGGAAAACCACCCACCTTCACCCAATAATGGTGCAAACATGCAAGCACCTCCCTCCTTTGCCCTGATGTTTCTGTGGGTTGGCTGTCAACGGCGCAGTGATTTGTCCCCCCCCCCCGTGTCGATTTGCACTTGCCCCCTTCCCTCCGTTTTTTTTTTTTTTTTATGTGTGTATGTGTTTTGGAGTTTGATTATTGTTACTATTTTTTTTTCACTTGCTTCTTCCCTTGCAGTTTCCCGGCGCTGAAGGGGCGACACCGGTCCTGCGTACATGTGTGTGTGTGCGTGACCGGCAGAAGTCGGTTTCACCACTCTGCTGATTGCATTTTTTTTTTTTTTCGGTTTCTTCACGGGCGGGCACACAGAGGGTGGCCGATGCTGAGGCGCATCTCCGACTGGGGCGCGCCCGTGTTGGCTCGCCAGACGGTAGCTGCATGTGTGGGATTATTCACGTCGCTTCGGGGTGTTCGTGACACCCGCTACGACAGCTGCAGTGAGGAGCTGACCAGCCGTTACTTCGACATGCAGGACATCCCGGCGGATCGCCTCACACATCACTACTGGGACAACATGGACACACCGTATGACGACACGTTTCTGCTCGACGAATTCCCCTTCGCGGAGGGTGGCGTGGACACTGACGAACACATTCTTCAGCCGGATCGTCGGCTGCTTTCGAAGGAGTACCTTTAGGCGTGATGCGGCGGGGCGGGGGGATGCTTCACTCAAACACACAGAGGCAGAGGAGGGTGGTAAATTCACAGAAGGTAGAGGAGTTCGAGCGTGATGGATACGAAGAGGGGGTGGAACTCGCACGGATGAGGCAGTACATGTCTTATGCAGTGAACCGGTCTTTTTGCCACACACGCATTCTTCCGAAACCGAAAGTAGAAGCAGAGGGAAGCGACAGCAAAAACCACAAGGACGAGATTTGCCCTTGCGGTTTCTCTCTCCAGCGATGCGGTTTTCCTGGTGCTTCGTTCAATGGCTCCGCCTGCTTCCTCCCTCTACATGGTTGTCCGCTTTCTCCTTCTTTTTCTCTGCGTGTGTGTGTGTGTGTGTGTGTGTCTACGAAGGCGAGACTCGGGAGCCAGGATTGAAGCACACCAAACAAACAAGCAAAGAAAAGCAAAGCTGACGGTTCCTCAAATAACGGGGAAAAACGCCGAGGATTGGACGGACGTCAGGAGAAGGGAAAGAGAGGCGCTATCAGGAGACTGCACTGCGCTGCGCTTGTATCTTCACTTTTATGCATGACCTGCTTCTTCCGGACAGACCTCCCACGGTCTGTTTTCGTGTTGGATTTCATGCTCTTGGTGGTAGGCGCATTAGCACCTGTGCGTGGTTTGGGTGGCGTGGCGTACACTGCCACCGATCCCGGCTCCGGCGGTTTTGTTCGTGTGTCTACGCGCCGTAAACCTCCGCCTCCAAACACCTTTGTGGACTTTGATGTGCGGTTTGGCGTGTTGTACGAAGCTGGCGGCCACGCGAACCTTTCCACGCTCTTCTCCGTTTTCCGCCCCGTTGGCGTGCTCGATGCCTTGCGGGGATTCTACGTGCGACCGCATTTTTGGAGGACTTGACCTTCCTGCGGGCGGGCCACTTGCCGCAGGCCCCTGGGGCAACCACCGTGTGGGTGGTGGCGGCCATCAATAATGCGTTGGTTGTAACTGAGGACGCGGCGCACTTGTGGGAGAAGGTGCATCGGACGCAGGGGGGAGGGGTGTGTGTGTGTGTGGGAACTGCGCAGCGGCCTTTTTTTTTTTATGTCGATGACTTGACGATTTCGTCAGTGACCGCGTGTTTTGGCGGCGAGGCAGCTGAGGCAACGTGGGTTTTTTGTGTTTCGAAGAACGCTGACGCTGCTGTCGTAGGGGGCCAGCACGAGGAACGCACGCCGGGTGGAGTATCGCTTTTCATGGCCGTTAGGCGGTTTGATAAATTTTACCGCTTTGCAGTTGACAGGCTTAACGCCGAAGACGGGCCTCTTCGATGACCCAGGCATCCCGCAGCAACTCCCGCCGTTTTCTCTAAATGTGGAGGGGAGGATGCGCCTCAGAAGTACTACTTCGGCGGTGCTCAGAAATCTCCGGCAGGGATGTTTGCCGTGCAGCTGGAAGGGTTTTATTGGGTGGAGTGCGTCAATGGCAGCGCCTCGTTTGCGTACTGTCCAGGGGATGGGGCTGTGCACCGCTGCGGCAACATGCCGGAGTGTACTGTGTACGCTCCCACTGGCATCTGTCCCTCTTCTCTTGAGAGTTGCCGCTACCTCTGCGCTGACCGCTACGCGTTTCTCCTCGGTGGCGTGTGTGACTTTCGGGTCAGGTTTTACAACAACAACGGCACCCTTAAGGGACATGTGCGTCGCCCGCCGACCTTGTGGGGTCGCTGCTGCTGCTGCCACACCTGACCTTTGTGGGCAGCGGGGCAACAAGCCGTCCAAAGAGCTGCCTGTTTGTTGTTAGCCATCATATCGTATACTTTTACAATAACTTGCGTCCCTTCCGCTTCCTTTGCGGTGGCGCGGGTGCAGCGTCATGGGCTCAACCGTGCACATCTCTATGGACATCTCCCGCAGCGCCATTCGCCGACACCACTGTGAAAGATGCGGTGACAGTGCTTTGCATAACGTGTCTGCCGTTGCGTACGAGTTAGTTGCTGTCATTCCCGACGGCTGGTCGCGATGCCTCATTTCGTACGTGCATCCGGCGCCGGCGTTGAGAGCGCGTGCCGTAACGTTGCAGCTTGCGTGGAACACCTAATTTTTCTCGCTTGCCTTTTTCAGTGGGAACCGGATACTGCATGACGGCTGTTTTTCATGCGCTCCGGTAGAGGCGGTGGAGCTGAAAGTCTCGCTTTCGTGGGATCCGTCGGTGGAGGAAATACTATTTTTTTGTCAACGTCGAGGTGTTTGGTGCATCGCTTGCCCAACGCGGCACCCGGGACATCGCGACGGGAAATTGCAGCGTTGCTACCGCGGGACATTGTGCACTGGTGGTGGTGGATGGGCGGCGGATTACGACTCCCAGCTGTAGTTTGCCGGGCGTGCTGCCGCCAACCGCCTTCCAGTCGACTTTGAGTAGGCCCTCAGCGACGTTCAGCGCCTTTTTTTTTAACGAATTGCTCTTCTTTACCTCTTGGCCGCATGCCGGCAGTGCCGTTGTTTGCGATTCCCGTCAACGAACGTTTTGCTGCCGGCCTGTTCGCCACGTCGCATTCCGTGGCAGGGCCTGCGCGGGCGACTGCAGGATCTCGTGACCACAAAGGGCTTTTGTCGGTGGGGGTCTCACCGGCCATGGCCCACTGCAGCATGTCTCTCGTGTCCCAAGGGGAGCTTCGCTGGTTTGCTGGAAGAGTCCTCCTCGGCTGCTGAGGCACGTTGAACATGTGCTGCCACGCAACTGATGACTTTCAATTGGACACTTTGTGTGAGGCGGGTGACTGGGTATGGACCGCCGCTTCCAGTTGTGCTTGTCGCAACAGATTACGTTGTTTTTGTCTCTGGGAAAATTCACCTCGGCTGTACCACTTTTTTTGCTTTGTCATTGACGAAGCCGCAGACCTGACAACCGCGGGCGTTGCAATGCGGCCACAAGTTGCTGCGACACCGCAGTGCGATCCAAAGTTTACGCGCTCCAACGCCGATGTTTTGCCTGGCGTCACGGGTGTGACGATGCGGCTCAACAGTCCATTGAGGCTTTTTTGGTGAACACGGCGCGGTCAGCGGCCTGGCGCAAACAGACCCGCTCCTTGAGGGTTCGTCGGTGGCTGTGTCGATCCCGTTTGCTCTGCGCGCCGCGTTACCCACAACCGGCAACCTGAACATCGGCGCAGCTACTGCCCTTAACAAGGGCCAGCGTGCGCACTGGCTGTGGGTGACGGGATACACGCTGCGTTCTTTTTACTTTCTTTTTCGCATTTCGCGTGGGTTCAGTTGTTGTTCTTCTTCTTTTCGTTTCTGGCGACAACGGGGGTCGCCGTACGCCTGCCGCCACTCACGAGTAGGTACCGCTGCGTGCGGGTGTTTTTGCGTGACCGCCTCCGTGGCTCACGCCCGCCGGCACGGCCCTATTTTCTTCCTTCTTCCTTTCGTCGTAGAGTGTCACTCGCAGCGAAGCAGTTGGGGTGAAAATGCTGCGCTGGCGGCTGGGGCGTGCTCCGGTCTTCTTGGCAACCGCGGCTTCGCACACCGCACTGCGCGAGATGCACGGGAAGCCGACACAGTCGCACAAGGTTCGCACCCAACACAGCCGACGGTGGTGGACGCAGTCAAAGGCTCGCCACCTCACAGCGATGCCGCACGACGAGTGCCGGTCGCGTCCACACTTCCCCGCCTATAACGAAGACGTGGATCGCCCCATGTTGGTGCCGGCAGGGGTCACCTGCTTCAATTGTGAGCAGCCCATTGATGATGGCGATGTCAACAGCTACGTTTGGGTGCCGGCCGGCAACGCTACTGTCCCAACCCCGCAAGGGTACTTTTTTCACTTCAAGTGCTTCAAGTGCTGGAAGTGCAAGTACCGCCTCATCCACAACAAGTTTTACTCCAAGGACGGCAAGGCATGGTGTGTTTCGTGCGCCTTAGGAAGAGACATCCGTGTGCCCACGCGCCGGTGGCACACTTCCTACGTGAACACGCACCGCACAGGCTCTAGAATGTCAGGACACTTTTTCCCACGACACAAACATCAGATGGCGTTTTTGCTCGACCCGAACGAGTAGCTCATCTAAGGTGCCTGCGTCTTTCTGCATCCATTGTTACTTTTGTCTGGTTGCCGCCTGACCACAGACACACACGCACACACTCTTCCTCATTTGTCATGCATCGCTGTGGTGATTATCGCAATTCATTTAGGCCCCCGCTGTCTGCTGGATTCTCCGCGCTCTTTCTTTCTCTTGCATCTTTGTCCTGCTGTATCTTTGTGCGTGCGTGGGGTCCTGCCATCCTACTGACAGCCGAAGGGAACATATATATATATATATATATATATATAAAGGGGATTAAACGGGTGATTGGTGCAGCAGCCAACCATTGATGGAGTTGCTGCGCATCGTGCTGGACGCGGTGTCGGGGCGGCGGCATGTTGTGGAGTACCCATGCAGGATTTTGGGTCGCACAGTAAACGACTACAACGAACTAGTAGAGGTTTTGCGTCACGGTTTTTTCCTTTTTACGTACCGCATGAATTTTAGCCCACTGCCTCACTCCCTCGTGACCTCCGACAAGGGGTGGGGCTGCCTTGTACGGTCTTCTCAGATGCTGCTCGCCCATGCGCTTTGGCGTTACTCAGAGAATGAATGTAGGCTTGACTACTTCCGCGACCTAGACACTGCGGATGGCGCCCCCTTCTCGCTGCACAACATGGTGCGGGCAGTGATGAAGAAGGCGGACGTGTTTAGCCCAGAGTACTGGCCACCGAGCCAGGGCTGTGAGGCGATCCGCTGTTGCGTGAACAATGCCGTGGATCAGCGGATCATCCCTCCCATTAGCGTCGTAGTTTGCTCTCAGGGATGCCTGTTGGCGAAGGAGATTTGCGCCGATTTGGAATCTCGCCCTGTGCTCATCTTGACCCCTGTACGTTGCGGTGTCTCACGACGGATGGCTCAGATGATGTTCTTTTCGCTTGAATACCTTCTTCACTCCCCGGCGTGTCTGGGCGTGGTGGGCGGCGTGCCAAACCGCAGCTATTATATTCTGGGAAGCAGCTGTCAACAACTGTTGTACTTGGATCCCCACTGCATGACACAAAATGCTCTCCTCTCGTGTCATACGGAGGAGGATACGGGCATCGTGATAGCCACGGCGAGCCTCGTCAAGTGTGTGCAGTGGGACCGCCTCGACACATCGTGTTTTTTTGGTTTTTTGGTGGCTTCCCGTACCGAATGGTCGGCGCTGCGAACACGTCTGGAGGAGTTGCAGTGGCAGGGCTTAGAGCAGCTGCTTTGCGTCAGTGATGACGACGTGGGACACCACCTTGATGATGAGGTCGCGCTGTGGCCGAGTGAGGAGGACGTGGGGGGGTAGCCGCGGCGGCCACCACTGTTTTCTGGTGGATGCGTGTGCTAGTGTTTCATATTGGCAAAACGTTTGTCTTTACAGTCGCACTTGCATGTATATTGCGGTGGTACCGCTTCTCTTTCTGCCGAAAATAAGAAGAGAGAAAGAGAAAGAGAAAGAGAGAGAGAGAGAGAGTGAACAAACAGTAAACACAACCATCGTTAAAAAAAGTGTGCGTGGGAGAGTGAGAGTGATAGTGAGAATGACAACAACAACAACAACAAAAAAAAAAGAAGACACCACGCTCTCATTGCTAGTGCGTGTGTGATTTTTAAGCCTTTTGCTGTTTTTGGGTTGGTGGCTTGGTGTTTGAAGAGCTGCCTGCAGTGGGGCGAGGGGCGGGAGGATCTCCTATTACTGTAGTTTCCCCACTCTTTATTTTTTGTCTTTGGAAGGGGGGTGGAGGGAACTGAAGTATTACTGAGTGCACTGCTATTGCGGTCGGCATCGTGACCGTTCTCTTCCCCTTTCCTTCTCGTCTGTGTGCGGGGGCGTTGGTGTATGCTTACCTCTCTTTCGGGGGTCATTGTGTAGTTCAAGTGTGAAGTAGACGCTGGTGGTGCATGCGGCGCTGCGTGGCGCCCTTATGGCTGCCGTACCGCGGCATCGTGCGGGATTGGTGTGGTTCGTGTGGATATGTGGCGACCAGTCGGCGTTGGTGCCAGTCGTTGCGTCTTCCTTCCGTGGAGTTTGCCGCTCCACGCTCCCAGACGCACGAGGATCTTGCGTATGCGTCTTGCCCCATATGTGGTCGCCTGATGCATATGTGTGACATGCTCACTCACCTCACAACTGCCCACCGCGAGTTGAACCAGGCACATTGCAAGAAAATCTGCAGCGCGCGGCTGGAGCTCTACCAAAAGGTGATTGGCGTTCCGCTAAAGAAGATGGAGCTTACCACTTCTGGGCGTCGCGTGCTGGACTTCCTGCCCACTGTGCTGCCGTCCGGCTACATCTGCAACTGGTGCGACAAGAAGAATGATGTTTACCCCACGCGGGATAAGTTTCTCAAGCACGTGGCCGACGTCCACGCAGAGATTGACTTGGAGGACGTCGAGCAGCACGTCCCGCTTCTGCCACGCGGTGTGGTGGAGGAGAAGAGTAGCGTCCGAGATGAGATGTGGCCCACACGGCGTCTGAGTGGTGTTGAGGCCGTTGCTGAAACGTTTACCCTTCCGTCCACTGCCCGGCGCCAGACAACCATTTCAGTCCCGCGCGTGATTGACAAGCGAGTGGCTGAACAGCCGGGGGCGTTCAGTGACACAGAGTTTCCGTGCGAGTTGTGCAACAAGGTGTTCCAGAGCGAGATGGACCTGCTGCAGCATCTCGAGACGCGGCATCCAGACGGAACCGCTGAGGGGTCCGCTGACGTGGATCATTCCGCCATCGCCGATGTTGCGGAGTTCACTGCGAAAGAGGCGACGATGGGCGGCAGCCAGCGTGTGCACGTCATCTGCGACCTTTGCCCGTCCTCGTCGAAGGTGTACACGATGCCGTCCGCTCTTTTTTCCCACATACGTTTCAAGCACCCCGGCGAGGATGCCGCGTACCACGTGGAGCGCCTCATTCGCACACAGAAAGACCAGTCATTTGTTTGTAAGGTTTGCAGCAAGGCATTTGCCACATCCGAGGCACTGGAGGGTCACTTTAGAAACAAACACACCGAACCGGCGAGTGCGCCGGTGGGGCAGGCACCTGTGGCGATGAATAACTGCTGGTGGTGCCACGACTGCGAGAAGGGGTTTTCATCCGCGAAGGGGCTGCATGGGCACATGCAGAACAAACACGGTCTTTCTTCACAGATACATCCCTGTCCGGCGTGTAAGCGCGTGTTTGCAGACGTTTACTCGCTGGAGGAGCACATCACTTTGACGCACAAAACGATTCATCTGCATGATATTGGGCTTCAGACACATGCGAAGTGTGCCACCTGCGAGCGTTCCTTTTTAACCTACGAGGATCTGCACCGCCATGCCGTCAAACATCACAAAAAAGATCCCCGGGCGCCTATTCGCCCCTTTGAGGCCACAGCCTCCTCGTCGCCACCAAGGAACAAGGATGCGGCAAAGAGCGACGCGCATTCGTCGTTGTCGTCGTCGTCGTCTGTGTCCGCGCCACGCAAGGTGAAGAAACGCAAGAAGAGCAGCACAGATGAGGAGTCAAGTAAATAGCGAGGGTGCAGCGGAAAGAAAAATATAAAAACCGACAGAGAGAACGGGGGAGAGGGGGAGCGACGTTGGTGCGAACCAATCATGCCTGGGGCGAAGCAGGAGGGAACGGACACGAAACAGCGGCAGTGTCTAGAGGAGCAGGAGGAGGAGGGGGTGGGTGAGGAGCTGAAATGGCTTTGTTTTGTTTTGGTGACGGCACCAAGTTTACCTGCGGCGTCTTCACACTTGTCAACCCCGTCGGTTTCCGCACCTCTCTGCACCTCTGGGCGTTGTGCGCTGGTGGCGGCGGTGGCCATCCTTGCGGCTGTGACTCCCCCTCATATTATGATTATTGCTTCCGCCACTTTTTTTTTTTGTGGATTTGATTTCCGTGGTGCCCTTTACGGCAAGGACGCAGCGCGGGTGCGTGTGGAAAGGGAGTGAGACTGGAGTACAATACATTATTACATTACGCATCTACAGGCGATGACTGCGTGTGGCTCTGCCGCGGAATTGGCACAGCTCCGCACCGTGCAGCAGCTCCTTCACGCCTTTTCGGAGACGCCCTCCTGTGTGGTGCTCCTCAGCACCGCACTTGGGGAGATGTTGGGCGTCCTCGCTCGTCAGCAGGCGTGCATGAATGAAATACTCGTCTCTCTGCAGGCGACAAGGGAGGAGTGCATGCGGGAACTCTCGGCAGTTTCACAGAACCTCGCCGATGTTCTGCACGACACCATTAACCGCACTGCAGCTGCCATGAGCGAGGTACGGGAAAAAATATCCAGGCAACATTGCACGTATGGCACTGTCTTCTTTTCTAAAGAAAACCGTATTGAATTAAAAAAAGAGATTGTGGATCTACGGCAATTGGTACAGGAACGCCTGCATCGGCAAAACTCTTCAGAGGCAGAGAGGAAAGAACGGAACAGTGCGATCGATGCTGAACTTGCCGCTACAAGGGTGGAGCTACGGGATCTCAGTGCTCAACAGCATCTTTTACTGGAACTGCTTGACCTGCGCAAAACGTTGCTTTACCATGGATACACAGGGGATTCGGCTGCTGACGTGCGCCAAATTCGCCTACTTGACACTGTCGCAAGGGTGAAGCTGGTGCACCAACTACCGTGCTTTCACGTGCTGACGACAGCTTTAGCGTTATCTGATGGCGGCCACAGCCACCGCCATCCCGGTGGTGTGAAAGGATGATGTTGCGTGCGTGTATGGTGTGAGCATACATGCAACTTTGGTACAGTGTGTGGTTGCTGCATACTTTGTTTGTTGACGTTGGTCATCTGAGTTTCTTTGCTTACATTCTCCAGAAAAAAAAAAAAGGTAAAGCGGTATAAAAAGGAACTAGAGCGCCAGCGATAGCCATCACGTTGGATTTGTAGTTTATTTTCCTTGTTTTTTTTGTTTTGTTTTTTCTTTTGCTTTGTTCAGTCCTATCCACCGGAGACTCGGGTGGTACACGGCGGCAGTGAGGTGGTGCGGCAGGGCTCTGCGGCCATCGCGCACGGAGGGCACTTTGCAGAGCTGCGCGTTGGCGGTGCCAGCGGAAGGGGTGGAGGGCGGGGAGGGTGGGCCGAATCCCCTGGCTTGTTGCTGTGACTCTTGGTTTTCTCTTGCTGTCTCTATTTCCCGGTGCGGGCGGTGTGCATCCGTGTAAAGGTGTGTAAAGATTCATGAACGTGCACTGGAAGCCTCGCGGCGGCGTGCAGGCGTCGGTCGGTATCATCAACGCCGTCGAGTTTGACCCGGACCTGGAGTTGCTGTGGGTCAGTGATAGCTTTGGCCGGCTGATGAGCTTCACGACACATAGCCAGACAAACACGCTCACCTGGACGGCGTACTCCTCCTTCCTCGCGTCGACGCGGCCGCTCTCCGGCATTTTTTTTCTTCCGCTGGGTGGCGAAAAAATTGTAACAGTGGCGGACCACAATGTTATTCGGGGTTACAAGCGGGGCGGTGCGCTTTTTCTCTGCCGCACCCTGCCACCGCAGACGCAGGACTACATCGAGCTGTTTCAGACGCACGGCGGAACGGGGGTCGTCAGCTTCACCGGCAACGTTGGACTGACGCGCTTTTCCATCGGCAACGAGGGCGCTGACCGAAGCGTCACGGTGCCGCTGGGCGAATCCAAGGTGGTTGCGCTGCACCAGACGGAGCGGTGGATTGTCACGGGCAGCACCTCCGGCAGCATCGTCGTCCGTGACAGCAACGACCTGCAGGTTGTGGACATGGTGCCAACGTCGCGACACCGTGTGCTGGCGATGGATGCGTACGACGACACCATTGTGGCTGCCGTGGTGGAGCGTTCCATGACAAGCGGCGTGAGGGTGTACGACGTACGCAAGATGGCAGAGCCGGTGATCGCAATTGGTGGAATTCCCTCCGACAGCGTCTCACAGGTGCGTCGGTACCGCGACTCATTTGGCATTTCAGCGGATCGCGCATTTGTTTTGACGTCGTGCGGCTTTCACATTGTGCAGATGGACCAGCCCTCCCCGGTGTTCAGCTCCAACGGAATGGTGGAGGATGCTTGCACGTCGGTGAGCGTCTCCCCCAACGGTATGTGTGCCGCCATTGGGAACGACAAGGGCTATTTCATCGCCCTGGCCCACCCGGCCACGCGTGAGGATTACGTCATGTCCCGCTTTGAAAAGCCCCAGCGGCCGGTGAACCCCGTCTTTACGCAGAGCTGGGCGGAGAAGAAGGAGGGCGATACCTTCGCCTTCTTTGATGAGACGGTGCCTGCGGCAGAGCTCGCCTCCAACTGGCCACCTGAGGATTACATGATTCTCTCCGTTCCAGCTCCCACCCGTTGCCTTAACGTGGAGTCCCGCACTGTTTTGCAGAATCGCTGGGGATTCCTGCGGGCCGACTCCTATCTGCCCGACCCCAAGGACAAAATCACGTCGAACCTGCCTGACCCGTTCCCATTCAACCTAGGGCTTGGTGACGACCCGGCGGCGGTGCAGCGGAAGCTGCAGGATATGAAAAAGGATCAAAAACGGCGGTACTTTGACCTACGTGAGGGGACTGCCGGGGAGTACGCTCCGCTTGAACCGGCGAGGCATGTCTGTTACAGCTCACACCACCGCTTTGACTGGGAAGGCCACAACGCGATTCCACGGGACGTCGTGGGTCTGGACAACAGCTTCCCCGAGTGCTGGATTACGACGCTGCTGCAGTCGCTATACCTTTGTCACCCACCGGAGTACCCTGTTCGCAAGGTCATTCTACGCCACCTCTGCACCCGCGAATACTGCATCGCCTGTGAGACGTCCTTTATATTTTCGAATATGCTGATGACCTCCGCGACAGGGCTTAACCCGATTGTGCAGGTTGCCAACTTAATCCGCACCATGTACAAGGTGCCTGCGACAGCTTCCCTCTTTGAGCCTGTCAATTCCCGCGACGAGGCGGTAAAGCGGATGCACACGGCACAGTTGGTTCTGCTTGAGGCGCTGCATCGCGGGCTGCAGGATGAGAAGGCGTACCCCTTCATGGAACACAAACCCCCATGCCCTGACTTTGAGCACTCCATCGCGTACCTCTTTGGCACGGAGTTTTCATCCGGTGGAAGAGTTCACTTGGAACCCCAGTTCTACTGGGATGTTCCTTCCTCTGCACTCAAAGTGAATGAGGGGCTGCAGCATCTACTCAAACAAATTGAATCTTACAGAGATCAGGTGCAGATAAAACGTCTGCCTCCTATTATTGTATTACGACTGAACCCTGAAGGTGGGACGCTAAAACCGCCGAGGTGTTTGCACATCTCCCGCGAGGCGAAGGAGGATTCCAATTACGTTTTGTGCAGCAGCCTTATCCATCTCTCCGACGACGCCGACGACCCTGGTCGCTTTGTTATTCATCAACGCATACTGGATAATCGTTTTAGTTTGGTGAATGACTATCGCGTGACGGCACCAATGGAGGAGCAGGAGCTGGAGGATTTGATGCCCGCATTTCACTCTCATCGGGCTGTGGTGGCATACTACGCCCTCGATAAGCTGGCGGCGCCACCCTACAGTTTACAAGACGGTAACCGCCCGCCAAACATGTTTGAGGTGCTTGGGCCGCTTCTACTAAATGATACTCTTGCGAAGCCCCTGCAGCGTGACCCATCTGCGCAACGGTTTAAGTCGCCATTAGCGTCATTCTACGAGATTAAATCCAATGACCTTGTCGCCTTGGATGCGGAGTACGTGGTGCTGAACTGGAGCAGTCGTTGCATTGATGCAGGACTCGAGAATAACTCGTTGCATAAGACGCATATGGCACTGGCACGTTTGAGTTGCATTTTAAGCAGCGCCCCGGGAGATGAGCGGACAATTGTGGACGATTACGTGCACACACCTGAGGTAATTGAGGACTACGTGACGCAGTACAGTGGTATTCACCCCGGGGACCTGGACCCGCTTAAATCCTCCAAGTGCCTGACAAGCCGCAAGGCAACGTACTTGAAGCTTCGTGCCTTGGTGGATCGCGGTGTTGTGTTCGTGGGTCACGGGCTATACCAAGACTTCCGCGTCTGCAACATTGCGGTCCCTGCCGAGCAAATCATTGACACTCTAATGATGTTTCACAAGCCTGGCGGCAGGTACCTTTCACTCCGCTTCCTTGCCTATCACGTGCTAGGGGAGCGTGTGCAGGAGGGTGAGCATGACTCTGTGGAGGATGCCCGCACCTCGCTGCGCCTGTACCGCAAGTACCAGCAGCTGGTGAGCGAAGGGACATTTGACACCGTCCTCGACAAGCTTTTGGCGACCGGGGCGGAGACAAGCTGGTACGTGCCGGAAGGCCGCGATGCCTTTGGCGTATCCTCTGTGGCCTTCACCGGCGCAACTGGGTCGCCAGTGTTCCCTGACGCACCTTCGACGCTGGTGGCCGCGGAGGTTGTTGAGAGCGTTGAATTTACCCCCACAGAGTAGTGGGCGATTCAAGACTGCGCTTTTTTCCATCACCAAACTCTTTCAGCACGTTGTTTCACATCCCGCCTCCTCCGACGTCTTTCACTTTTTTTGCTTTGATGCATCGAAGGAGCTGGAGAAGGGGGAGTAAAGAAGGGGAGCATCGGTCGGAGTTGAGGGTGATGGGATAGAATGAAAGGCGGGGGAGCTGAAACACTTCTCTTTCTTCTATGAGGTCTCCCCCAAGTAAGAAACACCCAGCCTCGTAGTCATGCTGAACTTTTTCCGTTGCCGTTTTGCTTGTTTCCCCCCACCCCTCCCCACCCTTATTTTTTCAATTGACACATTTCCACTGCCATGTAGGTCTTTTGTAGAGGCACGTGGGGGTGCAGAGAAACGCATTGTATATATATATATATAGAGAGAGAGAGAGGTAGAGAGAGGTAGAGTGGGTAGGGGAGCGAAGGAAGTAGTGGGGGAATGCCAGTAAAGTCATACGCGGGGGCTCCGTCCTACCACAACGGTTACGTCTCTCCTTCCGGCATCAAAGTGCAGTACAGCAATGACTGGGTGAAACATCATCCGCTTGAGGGCGATGGGCTGCGACCGCTCTTGTACATGCACCTGTGGAAGAAGGATAAAGGGAGCGGGAGCCGGCTCAAAAATATCCGTCTTCCGGATACTGTTGTATACGAGCACAACTTCCCCCGTGCCTGGTACACCTACGACGGGGATGCGAAGGAAATCAACAAGCACCCAGGCAAGATGCTGGATGCCCAGTCCATCTACGAGCAGTTCAGCCACTCCACACCCGACTGCGATGTGGTGGCGCAGTTCCTCACTACTTGCGCCCAGGACAATGCGGCCTTCGGGACGGACTCTGGGCTCCTCACTTACGTGGAGTACTTCACAGCAGAGTCACTCCGTGAATTCCTCTTTGGCCATGAACGAAAACCGGACGGAATTCTGCAGAAGTTTGTGTTACCCAAGGGGAATATGACGATGCGACAAAATTCGCAGCTACAAGTGATGTGGTCGCCGCTGGTGACTGTGGTGTACAAGCGGACGAATAAACAACGATTGAACGACACACATTTGCCCCTCCACGTACGCGCCGCCACGTTTGATGGCGACTGCCACCTGAGTGAGTTGTCGCTCATTGCGGACGAGACCAAAGGGAAACTGGAGTCTCTCTGCCGCGAGGTGGTGGATCATGTCTACTTTACTGATCACAAACTGATCACCTGCATCGTGCTGAACTTCAAAATTGACGACGCCAATAAGCCATACCTGCTCTGGTGCAGCTCTCTCCGTGTCTCGGGTGATAGACTGAACCCGCGACATCTGCGCGTCCCTGTGGCACTCTCCTTGCAAATTGAGGTGTTAAATGATGGAACAACTACGCGGGATCGCATGAATAAATGTATAAAGCGGCAACACCAGCTGTTCTTGATGGACAAACAACTCTTTGAGCTTTCACGAGACTACAATTTTGGCTATCAATGCAACACGTCCAATGTTCGTGAGGCAAAACGCCTGGGCCTCGTGCCTCAACGTGGGACATCCAGTCGGACTTACTTACGAAGAGGTTCACCGCGGCATGGCCCATCCCATCCCTTTACTGAAGCTATGCGGTACTTTGGAGACCTCACGCGGGCGTTGCGTGGTGAGAATTCCTCCCGCCGCAGTGTATCTTCAGCAGTGCAACCGCACGAGCAACGCCGGTTTTCGTCTGGTTTTTTTCGTCAGGGCCAGGAAACACCTGATGCCCCGGAGCATCGTGTTAGAAGTGAGCTTACCGCTATGGCGCTTGACGCATGGTACACTGTCTATTCTTCCACGCTGTCGCAACACCCAGCTCAGATGCCAACGAAGGATGTGACGTTGTCAAGACCCCTTCTGGAGGTGCTGCAGCCCTCTGAGCTCGACCGTCTCTTAGTGATTCTTGGCCTTGAGAAGAACTTATCCTCTGATGACCCTCAGAGCTTCACCGTGAAACCGGACCTTATTGGGCCCGGGCGACGCTTTGATCGTCCACTATTCAACGCAGAGCGTGATGTAAGAGAATACTTTGATGAACTTTTTGCTTTGAGGGGAGCAGAGATCACGGCGCAGTGTCTAAACAATGATCGCTGGGTCTGGTGAGCAATGACCTCTACCCACACGTCATGTCAAGTATTGCTCGGGTCGTCTTGACCACTGCCTTCCCACCGGCCATAGAACTTTGCCGACTGTTTGTTTGCTGGTTGAAGCAAACAAAGAAGGGAGTATGTGTGTCATGTGGCCTGTTGAGGTAGAACTCGTGTGTGTTGCGTGGGCCAGCTTTTCCTTGTGTTTCTCTCTTCCTTGTTTGACCTCATCTCTTCCTCTCGCCCCCACTTTTTTTTTTTGTTTCTGCTTATTTTGCCTCCTCACCTCTGCTTGACGGTTTTGGATGGATTGCGCCTCTGCAGCGGGTAGGGGGCACCATTGGCGGCGGGATAGGCGCGTTGTTTTATGTTGGGCGGTCCTGCAGGGCTACCAGGGAACGTCGTTCGCGGGAACACCATCTTCTGCCTGACGCATGTGGACGATCGGGCGTATTACATACCGCGTGGGTACAAGTTGAAGGACCGGATCTACTGCTGGCGTGTAAAGGCCGACCGTGAGACAGGGCGCATCTTTTATGTGAACTGTGGTGGCTTGGGGGAGAGCTGGGCGCTGCCGGACTTGCTCGCAGATAACTACGACCTGCGCACGCAAGCGCTGGACGGCAGCCCGCGATGCTTTTCGTCTTTGTCGGGGCTTTCGCCCACTGCGAGGCAAGTTGCCAGCGAGGACGCTGTGGCGGTGCTGGAGGCAGCGGCGGCGGTAGCAGTTCCCTCGGTGGAACTGAGCAACGAGGCGAAGCAAAGCCGTGATGACGACACAATATTTTCTTTGACGTCACCGTCAGCGAGCAACGTGTGCCACGGCACGAGGGAGAAAACTTTTTTTCTGGCCTCCATGCAGCACAGTGTTGCTGACATTTACCTTAACGACATTACTTATCTGCGGTCATTTGACGCGGAGGTACAGGCACCGGCGTCTGCTGCAACGACGGTGCGCGGCGAACCAGATGGCGCCCGCATGCCTTGCGAAGGCAGCGGTGCCGAATTCTCCCCTCTTGAGGCGCAGCTGCGGAGACAAATTGAGGACTACGCCGAGGAGGTTGCCACACTTCGTCAAAAGCTGGCCGAACGGGAACGCATCTTGATGGAGAAGGATCTGGCGCTGCTGGAGCTGGAGGAGCGCATGGTGAACATGCGACTGCGCATGCTGAAGGCCGTGAGCGCACATCGCAAGGCCACCTTCCCGTGACAGCCATGACGAGACATTTTTTTTTTTTGTGTGTGTCTGTGAGTTTGCACGCTACGCCGCTCTCCCCTTCTTTTTACGGTTAATTAAATTTCGATTCATCCCGCTCTTGATCCCTGATTTGGCTCCTTTTGTTTTGGTGTTTGGGTTTTGCTTGGCGTTCGCACACCCACACGCATACGAGAGGAGGTCGCGCACGCAATCTGTTGGGATGCTGACGTCGAGTGGCACCGCGGGCTACCACCCATCCTACTACCCCTAGCGCTTTGCAGCGGAGTTCAAGGAGCCGTTAGTGCGGGTGCAGGGGTACACGGAGCCAAGGCTTACCCCCGTGCAGCACTCCGCCGTAGTTTTGGCGGTGTCTGCCATCACCGCGTTGCTGAAGCGCCCCATCGTCAAGATGACTCCTTCTATTTTTTTAAAGTGACGTGCCGGGGGACTCCAACCGCATTTATGCCTTGGACAAGCGGGCTCAGTTCTTCCGCACACTGCTCAGCATCCGCTGGTTTGCCGGGCCGCCGATATTGTGGAGCATGTCAGAGTATGTCTTTCTTCTTGCCAGCTTCTATGTGGCTGCGCGAGCGGTTGCCGTGGGACAGTAGAATTCTGCGAGGGTTTGCCGCCGGTGGCCCCACCGATGTGGCGTACACGGCGGTGCGATACCCGTATGACGTGCTGCGCGCCACACCGGTGGGGCCGCTGGTGTGGGGAATGTCGTGAAGACGGCTCTCCGAGAGAAGCCCTCTGTAGTTCTTGGTGTTTACCGTGGCGTAACGGCCGCGCCGGTTGGTCGGCTGTTGCAGTTTGGCGCTTAGTTTGGGGTGTACAAGGTGACACGGTACGACGGCGTGTATCACCACACCTGCATGCTGTTTC